AGAAAAGAAAAGAAAAGAAAAGAAAAGAAAAGAAAAGAAAAGAAAAGAAAAGAAAAGAAAAGAAAAGAAAAGAAAGGAAAAGAAAAGAAAAGAAAAGAAAAGAAAAGAAAAGAAAAGAAAAGAAGACAGGAGGGAGAGAAAGGTGTCCAGAGGACATTATCAGAGGATCCCGTTACCCAATATCATCCTCTGGACCAGCTTGCCCCTTGACGTTCTCTAGGCATTGGTAGCCCTTTTTCTCTATCCAGGCCATGACCCACCTAGCTATCCTCGGCTTGACACCTCTTTCCCCAATGACTAGTCTTACACAGCCTCTTCTCCCTTCCTCCTGGGATCTCTTTGCCCCCATCCCTCATTTGGCTGCTGTTTGGAAGAATGACCTAGTCCAGTCAATTTCTATAGATCTGATTCCTTCTTCCCTGCTGAGCAACCTCCCACAACAGGGGGCTGGGGGTGCCGAAGTGGTAGGGCATGCAGCAGTGACAGAGGCTAACTCGCTGACTCAAGTCAAAGAACAGACTTGGGAGCCTGGAGGCCCAATACTGTACTAGTGGGAGGGAGGGCAGTTTTGAAGCAGGATAGCAAAGGCACTTAGAAGTTGTAAGGGTTATAGCTACTCCATTCCTTCCATGGCCAGGGTGCAGCAGGTAGAAGCATGAAGTTGAAGGTTCAGGCATGAAGCTGATGGCCTGGTCACCCATTCCTGCTGGAACTCAGCCTTGACTACAAGCAGTCTGAGAGATAACCAGAATGAAGGCTCCTGCTTTGCAGTGATTATCAGGATCAGATTCTGAGGGAAAGGGCACTAGGGAGATAGGATACACAGAGGCTGTGCTCAGGGAGAGAAATAGGAAGAGGGGTGAAGGTTGTCTCCTCAGACCTTACTCTAACTAGGAATTTTACAAAACTCTCTGAGCCTCAGTCTTCCTGTCTAGACAGTGGATCATCAGATAGGAGCATTAAAGGAGCCAGAAAAAGTCTGCACAGCAAGGTTCAAAGAATTAGCAGCCCCAAAGAGAGAGAGAAATGGGGAGAGGCCAGCACCTGGCACTTCAAGTAGCATAAAGAGAAAGGAAGTTCAAATTCACATACCACAGCATGGATGAGCCTTGACAATATTATGTTGGCCAAAATAAGTCATCACAAAGGGACAAATACTATATCATTTCATTCATACAGAATGTTGTTGCTGTTGTTAAGTTCTGTCGAGTCATAGATGACTCATAGCGAAGCTATGAATGAAAGACCTGAACACTTGTATAACTTTCATCATTTCTCCACGTTCATAGAGTTTCTGGAGGCAAGCTATTTCAGAAGTGGATGCCACTCCTGCCTCCAAGCTTGTTTTAACCAGGAAGCTCCACCAAACACTGTCCACCCTGCATAATCATTATCACATTTGACATATCAGTGTCACAGTGTTCAGTATCACAGCAACCATGAGTTACCTCTGTACAGCAAATGGACAGACCAGCGCTATACCACTAGATGGATGTTTGACCAAAAACAATTAAAACCAGGCCTGATGGCCACAGATTAAAATCACCCAACGTTGGTTTGGTAGCATAACTTTCAATCCACTAGGCCAACAGAGCTCCCTCTATGTTGTTGTTGTTATTCATATAGAACAAGTAGTTAAATATTGTCATTAGTGGTGACAACTCACAGGTCCATGCTGACTCATGGCAAACTCAATATATACAGAATATGACTCGGTGACCCTATGACCAAGTTTGAGACCTTGTCCTATTCTGCACCATTCTCATAATCTCTGTCTTGCTCAGGTTTATTGTTGTAGACACTGTGTCAACCCATCTTGTTGAGAGTCTTCTTCTCTCCCACTAACCATCTTTCCAAGCACGATGTTTTTCCAAGAACTGGCCCTTCCTGACAACATGCCCAAAGTATGTAAGACAAAGTTTCCCCATCTCTGCTTGCCTCTAAGGAGAAGCTTGGTTGGAATTCCTCCAAGACAGACTTAAGTGTTCTTTTGACAGGCCATAGGATATTCAACACACTTAGCAAGCACTACAACTTAGACTCACCAATTCTTCTTCTAGTCTTCCTTATTTATTATTCAATGTTCATATACAATGGTTTCATGACCATTCAAAAGATACTGATGTCGTTTTAGTATGTCGCTGTTATTAGGTATCATTGAATCAACTCATAACAACCCTGTGCATGACAGAGCTCGCCCTGTCCTGCCCTATCCTCATGATCTCAGCCACACTCCAGCCCACTGTCACAGGCATCACCTCAACTTCTCTCATTGAGAGTTGGACTATATTTCTCTGACCCTCTATCTTTCCCAGGATGATGTCTTTTTTCCAAGGACTAGCCCCTCTTAACAACAAGCCTAAAGTGTATGAGATGAAGTTTCCCCATTCTTGCCTCTAAGCAGCACGGTGGTTGTACTTCCTCAAAGATAGATCTGTTTGTTCTTTGGCCAGTCTGTGGTATATTCAGTGCTCGTCACCAACACCACAGTTCAAAGCAATCAATTCTGTTTTGCTCTTCCTTATTCATTGTTCAAATTTAAAATGCCTATCAAGCTATTGGAAACACCATCTTAGTGCTCTTTAGTACTTTAGAAAGGTCCTTGACAGAACTTTCCCAAAGTGCCAAATAGATGTTGGCTGTGGTGTGTGCAGTCAAGTTGAAGCTGACCCTCCAGTGGGTTTTTGGAGGCATTAATAGCATGGGAGGAGATTGTCCACCTTTCTCCCACAGAGCAGCTGATGGGTCCGAATCACGTGCCAAATAGATACAGATATAGCTGAATAGATATAGAAGTATAGGTATCTATATAGAGATATAGAGAGGCAATTACATCTATGCAGATAGCTATTTATGTCCATTCTATTACTAATATTGATACAGAGAGATTGTCCATCCTTCTCCCACTGGCCAGCTTGTGGATTTGAACCATAGGTCTTTGGGATTGCAGCACAGCTTCTGACCCTGACACTGATATAGGTAGATCTTATTCGTTTCACTTCTTAGTAGACCCTAAAAAGTAATCCCTCCCCTCAAGAGGCTCATCTTCAGTGGAAAGACCAGTTGTGCTCACAAATGTGATCAGGTGCTATGAACAGTGAGTTGAGATATGAGAGAGATTCCTGGGGGGTGGGGGAGGTCCTACCTTGGCTGAGGTGAGGAGGGCTTTCAGGAGGAACTGGTCATTGAGCAGGATCTGCATGAAGAGGGAGCCCTTGCAAGGTTGGCCAGGAAAGATGCCCAGCCGCACCGCCACTGCTCCTTTCTACCGGCAGTGAGCTCAACAGTGGGCAGGACCACGTAGCTGTAGCTGCAGTCACAGTCCGCAGGAGAGCTAAGGGAGTAGCATAATCTCGCAATGTCCAAGAGGAAGTGGTTTTGAACTTTCATTAACCACAAAGAAAAGCTCAAAACGCAGCAAAACTCTGCACTCATAATACATCAGCTGAGTGAGTATACAGAGGCAGGGCTCTCTCTGGAGAAGAAAACCAGTGAAACTTATAAAGAGAGCCTGACAGAAAGATAGATGCATTTCAAAAGTCAGCAAAAGAGAAGAAGACCCTCAACCAGATGGACTGACGACAGTGACTACAACACTGGGCTTAAATGTGCCAGAGACTGTGGAGGTAGCACAGAATAGGACAGGGTTCAGATCTGTTGTTCCTAGGGTCACTAGAAGTGGTATTGACCCAACAGCGCTTAACAACTACAACAACACATGGTCTGCTCAGTAGTATTGATTATATTTTCAAGTTATGCAGATATTCTCACCGCCCTTTTCCAAGTCATTCCACTATCATGAGCATAAACTCAGTGCCTTCTAAGCAAAAAGCCAGGATTTCCTTTTCTATTCTACTCCTGCTAACCAGCACTGGTTACCTAGTGGCAAGATGTAGCACTGCAATCCTGAAGGCACACAGTTCGAATTCACCCACTGCTCTGTGGAAGGATGGGCAATCTCTTCCCATGTGATTAACTGCCTCAGAAAGCCCTCCTGAGGGTCAGCTATGGGTAGGTTATAACTCAACAGTACAAAAAAATAATGATGATGGGTTTTTGTTTTGTTTTGTTTTGGTTTTCTACTTTATTTTGTCATTTTTTGTGTGTGTGCCATCAAATAGGATCTGTTACAAGAGGAGATTGTCCCTCCTTCTTCAGTAGAGCATCTGGTGGATTTGAACCACACACCTCTGGGATTGCAGTGCACCTTCTTGCCACGAGGTCAACAGAGCTCCCTAAAAATGATGTTTTACAGAGCCCTGGCGCATAAACAGTTAAGCATTTGCCTTCTAATCCAAAAGCTGGTAGTTTGAAGCCATCCAGTATTTCAGAGACAAAAGATACAGTGGTCTGTTCCCATAAATATATTCAAGAAAACGAATGAGGCAATTCTGTTTTGTCACATGGAGTTTCTGCCAGTTGATACCTAACAACAGCCAAGAGTTAGAGCAGTCCCTGGGTGGTACAAATGGTTGAGCACTAGAATCCTAGCGGAAACTGGCCATTCTA